AAACTGTTGTGGAGATAACTCCAGAGACAAAAGGTTTACTGGCACTTTTGGCTGAAAGGGTGGACTGAGGTGCTTCTTGCAAATATTAATGAGAAATAATCAGTACAAATTCCTCAAATTAACACAAAACAGGTAAGAAGGTTCTTCAGGTTTGTCTGTTTTCCTCTGAAGTACAAGGCATAGTTAGATCTGCCTTGAGAGGCTGTAAATTGCCTCCATCAAACTCCTGGTACATCCGAATAAATGCTAGCAATTAAGAAGCCTATAAGGATTGCAAGGACTAACTCCATCCAGGGTGAGAATGGGTCTGGCCAAAATCTTTGGAGTACCTGCATTCTGCCAGAGACTATTTCAAAAAATCTCAGAAATTGTCTGTAAACTGTTCATTGTACTTTGTGTCTCCTTTGTAACACTAATACTAACATTATTATGAATAAAATGGAATAATAGTGTTAACAGTTATTAATTAATATAATAGTGAGTAGTCACAGCTATGAGAAGTCTCATTGTCTTTTGAAAAGCCCGTCCCTTAGGAGCTAGCCTGGCGTGAGAGTTGCTGAGTAAATCCCAGTGAAGTACGGGTATGTGAAGCTCCATCTCCCCGCTCTGAAGCTGAACTCAGAAGGTGATTGCAGTCTGTTTATATTGGTGCCTCAGGAAGGTCACAGAGAGAAACTAACTTCTTAATGTGCTCCTAGCGAGAAAATTGCTAGTTTTGGGCTTTCTGGTTTTGCTGATGTACTCTTCAGGAAAATGGTGAGAAGTCACACACAGATAGAATCAGCTCTCAGACCTGTGTAACTGCAAAAACACAGGGAAATACCTTCCAGCCTAGATCAGCAAAGGAAGCTGAGAGGTACATAGCCCCAGGCTGCTCAACACAATTGCCTTGACGATTGGAAGCAACAATTGCTAGAATTTACTCCCGTCAGCCTTTTGTTTTGTTTGCTTTTTGCTTTTCATTTACAGAAAGCTGGGTCGTGCTTGCTCACAACTTTTCTGAGAATCATGAAGAAGGGACCTTTAGGGTTTTTGCTGAAGGCTGGAACAAACGCTCTTTCAAATAGTGAACAGCTCTTTTTAGATGGTCTGGACTTCTTGGACGAAAGGATCTTGGAAATTGTTGGTTATATAAGAATTCATAGAGAAAGTTGGTTCTTAAAACATACTGCTTACACGATGAAACCAGATACAAACAGTATGAGGAAGTGATGAAAGCTGGAATCCTGACGGACAGCTGGCCCTGGGCAGGACATTCCTATTTGCTCTGTAAATAAGCACTGGATTAGGAAAAAGGCCCACCCTGGGGAAAGACACAATGCTAACAAGGGAAAGTAATCAATCACCTCACAGTAGGTTGTCAATCTGTCTTCCATGTAAGTACTCAAACCAAAATAATTCGAACAGGCATTTAGAAATTTTAATGGGACTTGAACACTAGCCAACTCCCATGGCTTTTCTGATAAGGTCACCACAATATACATACAAGTGAACTCCAGAGAAGAAAAAAAAAAAAAAACGAAAACAAATCATAAAATATGAAGCTACCTACTGTGATAAAAATGTTTGTGAAATCTTGTGCACGCTCTCCCACTTCAAACCCAAACATTCTGGAGTATGCATTGTCAGGCAGTCTTCAGCTGGCTGATGGCACACACAGATATTTCTCTCCCCTCAAGAGGGCAATGCAGGGATAACACACAACCGGGAACTATTCATTGTTGTTCCTGGTTGTTCAAACCATCCCTGTACTTTCCTCCCTGTTCCAAGAAAAGAACCATTACTCCGGAACAGGCTGCTAATGTCTCTGGAAATCTGCCCAGAAGCGCAGTGCAGTCCAGCTCTCAATATCCTTTTGCTGACTGGCATCCACTGCAAGGAACAAGGTGGCACTGCTGAAGAAGGGAGAAAGACTGAAAATTAGCCTAAAAATAAGCTGAAGTGGGAATAGGGTCGTGGCCTGCTCGGACACTAACCTATGCTTTGGATTCACTACCTTGCTAGGGAATGGTGCAGTTTGTCAGCCTCGAAGGGGTGCGGTTTTAGGTGGTGGATGGCTGGTTCTTTCCCCACAAAGCAGCTTGTGGGTTAGGCTCCTCCTCTTGCTCTTTACCTCTGTACTTAAAGCACTTACTTGGGATGTTTCTGCCTTCTACTTCCTCCCTTGCCTGAAGGAATTTGAACTGGTCTTTCCTGAATACCAGACAAAGGTTTTCCAAGCTCAGATTCTCAGCTTTTCCTATCCAAGCTGTTCTGTTTCCCATGAGCTAATATCCTCTTTATAGAAAAAGGCACCAAGACAGATTCTGTAGATACAGGGGAGGGACAAACAGCTGGAAACAGGAACGTCATTCCAGTTACCTCCAGCCAACACTCATATGTTTTAAACATTCACCAGAATCAAGATTTAATCCCAGCTAAATTAATTCTATGCTCATGTTCTCTCTCTCTCCTCCAATCCCACCAGACTAGCCAGTTATGCCAATAAGATTCCAGACTCATTCTGTCTCCTCCCTTCTTCTTCTCCCCCACCCCTAATACTCCGTTACACACGCAAACACCACAGAACAGCAAATATCCCATCCAACATGTCCCTTCAAACTCCAGACACCACTGCGCTCGGTTACAAACTGCGGGAAATGCTGGTTCTTGTAGGCCACCTAGCGATAAAAGCAGAATAGTACAAAGAGAAAAACATTTCAAACTTCCCCTTCTGAAAGACATTTAATATAATCTGCAAGACAGACAGGGTTACCTTGCTGATCAATGGATGTTTTTCCCATACAGCAGCAAGCAAGACGATTAGGCTCCCAAGTCATACTCCAAATCAGCTGAGAGTATGGCCACAGGCTCCTTCTCTTCTCTCCTCTCTCCAGCATTAGTCCTGTAAACTAGAAGTTCTGCTCAGCAATTAAAAACCATATCGTAAATCACTCAGAGAGGAGGCCTACTGAAACTTTTTCAAAACAAATTTTTGAATCTTCTCTTGGGTGAGTGCTAGCCAGTTCTGGGTTCCCACACTTTGCTCCTGACCAGAGAAGAACTCGATGGAAGATGTCAGGTGTTACAAGGAACGGACAGAAGTTCTAATTTCACTGAACGCTACAGTCAGCAGTTGCTTTGCTTACAGCTCTGAGAGCCCTGAGAGCACCTACCCCTTCCCACCCGCACAGGGGCTCGTCTGTCTGTGCACAGGTGAGCTCCGACACTCTGCACCAGGGATCAGCCTGCATGAGGAAGAGCTGTGGGCAGCCCTGCTGAAAGCTCCTGCCCCTTGGCCCAGCAGCCACATACAAGCTCAGACCCGGGGCACGGGTCCTGCCTGGGCTGTGCTGTAGGTGAGCCTGTGCCAGGCCACGGATCTCGTTTATCCTGACCCTGACTTGCTGACATGACCATACCAGGTGGGCACGGGTTACAGGAGCCTCCCGACTTGTGACTGTCACAAATGGAAAGAAAAAGATAATGACTGTTAACGCTTTACCCATGGTATCTAAAAGAGAACAAAAATAGGAACCTGCTTGAATAAAATTTTATTTCATGTATCATAGAAAAGCCACAGATACCATCAAATATGGCTTTACAAGATGAAGGATACAGAGCAAAGAGAGAGACAAATTCATAATAAATACACTGCTCCATCATATTGCACACAATACTACTTATAGTTACACACTTAGGAACTAATCACTACTATTGCTGTTAGCAGACATTTCACTTGCAAGGTTGACCCCTGTTTTTAAGGCTAAATCCAGAGAACTCAGCCTGAATAAGAAGACGACTGGACTTGGTTTGTAAGTATCTTAGCTGCCATATTTCTGTGCAACTGTAGAGTGTAATCCTCTTTTTACACTTGGTTCTACTCAAGAGTTAGTTAATATGGTTAACACAAAGTCACCTATATTAAAAACAAGCTCCATTTACTGAATTTGGCTGGTGTGACAGAAGTAGAAAAAATAGGCAATATCTTAAGTTTGTAATTACCTGGTAGCATCTTTCTGGTAGTCACAGTCAATGTTTCTATAGAATGCTTTTCACATTCTCTTATGCAGTTGTGTCACGAGAAAGAACAAGTTAGAAAGCCTTTTACTTGAAAAACCTGAGAAACGTACCAGTGTATTCAGATATGGTACCTGAGAGTGTAGGGTACAAAACAGAGCTGAGGTATAAACCTGAATTCTTCATGAACTCCAAACCCCTACTGATGTTAACAGAGTTTGGAAGCCGTGCAATAGAGGAGAATTGTATTTGATTGTTACATCTTAGTTCCTTTTTGGACATCACACAAAACCACTGAAGAAAATTTTCACTAAGTTTGCAGCAAAGCAAAGCAAAAAAAAAGGTATCACAGTGTAGTGAATGCAATTATCACATTATGTCAACATTAACAGACTTCTAATACGCAGTCAACTGCTGTTTGAACTCTAACTGTGTTAAGCTATCCAACAGGACAGCGAGAAAAATTAACTGCTGTCTTCACTAAGTTTACATTATTTTAAATACAAAGAAATGGACATTTGCATCTCGTATCTGCTGACTCCAGTTATGCTCAGACAAATTCTTGGAGGATATATAAAACTGAATTTGAAAAGAACAGAAAGGGGAATCGGCACTTAACCATGCCCTCCAAACTTACTTATTTCACCTGGTTTTTGCAATGCCTCATTTACACTGCATCCTCACGTTTATGTAGACCTCAGAAGGTGTAAGCACTCCAAACCATGCTGAATGTTCAAGAGAAACAGTTTCACAAATGGGATATAACATGCTTTTTAGGCAAACACGTCTCCTTGCTATCATGCCTCCTTACTATTTTGGTCGATTTTTCAAGTGACAAAATAGTCCCTGTCAAGAACTTGGTTACATATACATATTTATGACAAACCCAAGTGTCTCATCTGTTAAATCATCTGAAAAGGACAGCATTTTACTAAGCAATATATCTCAGCCTCTAGTGCTATCATAGTCCACAATGTTTTACAAAGATAACTCTCCTTTTTTTTGTAGATTGCCTTAAAGTGAGATCCAAGACAATTATTATGTTACTGAATGTAAATATATTCATAGTCCAAAAGCAGAAGAAACACAGGATAAATCATTGTAAAGGAAGAGAACTGTTCTGGCTTTCTGTCACCTGCAGTGCACTATATCAGCTTAATTATACAATGCTGGCAAATAATTCCATTTATAAATAGCACACTGCACCTTTGACACAATATTCAATCAAAAAAATAGATTTGCTGAAATGAAGAAAATGTTCCTGTATAAACTGGAGTATAATTATAAATCAATTCTTTTGTTTCGTCATCTTCACTGGGGAAATGGTGCAGGCTCTTCCGGGCTGTAAAACATGGTAAAAGGACAGGTCACTTTGCTGTTGTCCTCCCTGGCAGTATCTTCCTAGGCAAAGGAAATTGTTCTGTCTAGCATAACAGCAAATGGAATTACAGTATGTGAAGAACTGTGAAGACACATCTTTAGAAAGCTGGTTACAGCATAATTTATTACTAGGGAGGGAGAAATTTAGTTGATGAGTATATTTTTGCCAGCTCACAGGTCATGTTTTTCACCCCGTGGTTTATTTTCAAAGTTAAGGAAGACATTCTGCCTTACGTTGGCTAAACACATCCATTATTCACCACAATGTTATGATACAAAGTACTCGGTAGGAGCAGCGACACACAGACTGGGGAGGTAATGAAGAAAAACTTGTGATTATTTGGTATATGAGATGGGGGGTAGACATATACAGCTGGCTGACACTAGTCTGCTTGACTAGAACTGAAGGTCAACACATCCAAAAGCTAGTGACGCATCTGTGTGGTACTATGCACAAGTTCATTATATATATGTGTGTGTGTGTGTGTGTGTGTAGATAAATACATCAACTCACATGCACTGTGTCTCAACAGGACTTACAAGCAGAGCTGGCACTTATTTTCCCACACTCTTGGATAATGTCCTGAGCAAGCTTACTTCTGCCAGAAACACAGTACTGGAGCATGTACAAACAAAACTAGAGAACATGCTGCATTCTAGTATCAGACTACAAAAGAAAAAACAGACTCCTACTACACTTTCTCCTATTTACCCCTTTCTTTTTGTCTTAGTCTCTCATAAGTACCCTATCAAAATTCGTAAAACACAGGAAGCTTGTGATACTCACAAGGAATTTGACGTGATTCCACTACCTTTTTGCAAAGAGGAGTAGGACCACATTATGCAAAAAAGAACCTTGAACTTGTATGAAGCCCAGCTTTCATTTCTATACTATCACTGACCCAGCCAGCACAAGCTGCATTTCTTTAAGTCACTGTCTGCCTTCTGCAATTAGGTCACTCTTTTGATTAGAGATCAAATCTAGGGACCAAACTCAATTAGGTGATTACGTTCTTCATAGTCCCAATCAATCAGGTAAGACAATTTCAAAAATAGACAATTTAAAATATGAAAATGATACTTCAGCAGAATGGTTTAGTAAGTATAAATAAAGGAATAAAGTAAGCTTGACCCTTCAAATACTCCTATATTTATATCCCTCTTATTTATAGCAAATAGACCAGAAGTGTCATAAATTATCAAAATTTTACACATTAGTTACTTCCAGTTTCTTTGGATATAAACAAACAAATTAGAAGCTCTGTAAAATTCAGAAACTTCTTGTGCTGTCTACAGTATAGAACTGTTGGGCACCATACTGCACCCCTTTGGTACATCCGTATACTGCCCATGCAGCATTTATCATCTCGGTGCACATATTTTGCGAGCAAAACTGAGACTACACTGAATGACTGTAACTCAGTTGGGAACTGATGAAACGTCTAGAATTATGAAATAAGGTTTTTTTTCCGTTTCACTGTCTTTGTGCAAAGGAGGCTAAGATGTTACAGCAATCATTCAAAATGGCAGAACGTCACAGCACAAACAATGCTTTTGAGCCAGTCTGCTGAAGAGAGTTTGTGCAACGCCTGGCCTTTTGATACTGCTTTTAGCGAGCCATCCTACTTCTAGTATCCCCTGGTTCTTGAATAAGCCTATAAACCTTGCAGAGTAATCTTCTCAGAAAACAGTAAGGGGTACTGAACTTTGACAGCTGAAAAAGAAGCCTGTCATCTTCACAGATTTTCACTGCTGCTTCACTGTAACACTTATAGATAATGAACTTTTTACCTTCATTAATGAAGAAGTCAGCTATATAATATGCTGCTCTTACAGCTGATGGGGAATGTGGGATTCCTGGTGAATGCTTCCACTCAAAAGGATTTTTCTCTGGATGCCACTGGACACCATAAATTGGATATTTGTATGCTGCAACAAACACAAAGCACATAAACAGGGTCTATGCCTTAAGAATCATGTGCTTAGTCTTACTGCAAAAGAAATGCAAAGGATAAATACCTCGCTCATCAACAGTTTCACAAAAGCTTAAACAGCAAGTTGAAAAAGTCACAGTAGAACTGAAGAAAAAAAACGGATATTGCATAGGAAGGGTCTCATTCCATGCAAAAAGATTTTTTTTTACATCACTTTTTTGATTATTCATTTCAGAATTAATATATATATACACACTAAAAAAAATACATTACAAGTGTATCAGTCTCAAAACTTCCCATCTCCTGCCAGCATCACTCAACAGACAACATTGACAGCCACACAGGACACCCCCGGCGGTGCCACAGGACAGATCCAGGTCTCAGGATCTCCTTGGAAGCCTCGTGCATCTGGGGCAGCTCCCGTCTGCTGCAGCCAGGCCTGACACACACAGGGGGAAGCCAGTCCCCAACTCTCTTACGGGGAACAGCAGCGCAGCAGCTGATGACTGCTCCCTGACAAACCACCTGCTGGCACTGGAGATGTCTGTCATTAGCCCAGTCAGGTTTTCTGATCAAACTGCGATGCTTCTCTTCTGGAGGACAGCCAGGATGCCATGCAGAAGAATCCCACCGGCCAGCAGCTGGCCCTTACTGCAGAGCTGCTAGGAGTGCACTGACCAAGATAAATCACTCCCTAAAGACCTAACTTCTTTCTTGAGCTGAGCAAGCCCGGTGAAAAACATACCCAGCACAAGGTAAGTAACGCAAAAGGAGGAGGGCAACGACCGGTATTGCTGATAAAGCAATTAAGGGTGCTGCTGTTATCTCAGTACCCTGGGTCGTTCTGCCCATACAGCAACAGATACCGAGCACCACAGGAACGCAAGCACGAGCAGAATGAAAGCAAGGTGCAACACGGACACATTGCACCGCGGAGGGATTGAACTACTATGGGACGAGCGTTGTACTCTTCACATCACAGCTATCTGGAAGGGGAACAGCAGGTGAGAGAAATAAAGAATTAGGCTTACAGATATGCAGTCAAAAGATAAAACATCCCAGCAAACAGAGTATGTTCCTCCCAGCCAGAGCACTGACAGGGCTGATGCACACCCTGCTACGCTAACAGCAAGCCTGCTGTACAACCTAACATCAGTGCCACAGCTGCCACTGCAGAACTGCTTTGTTACAGTCACTGTTTACAAAGGAAATTAATCTCCCTACCTTCCATGGTAGATACAAACTCCACTTCATCATCAGTGTTAGTGGTCAGAACGTTATAGAAATTACGAAGCTTTTCATTCTTTGTGAAATTCTGTGAAAAGGAGGGGGGGGGGGAAGACGTGTTATTTTCTCGTTTATTTCTAGTTTTAACAGAGCAAATGTGTTTGGGTTCAAGAAATAAAATTACCAAATACCTCCATGGAGAGGCTCCACATATGAAAGTTTGATGTCAATGGCTCAGTAGCAAATGCATGTAATACATCATCAGGGAGATTGCTGAATAATCTGCTGTCTTTTGAAGCTATTACAAAGAAAAATGAAAAAGGATATTGTCCATTACCCAAGCTGCTAACAGATGGACTAATACTGAACAGGAGACAAATGTAATAAAATTCTGCATTAAAGCAAACTTTATTCTGTAGTATAACTTCATAATTTTAGAATCCACTGCAAGGAAAACCTGTGAAATAACTACAACAGGTTTCCAATGTGCTGTTACCACTGTCCTCCAGTCTTGACCCAGAGAGGACCCAACTCTGCTACCCAAGTTCTTACTCAAGTACGCATCATTCTTCGCCATTCGTTTCAGTGACTTCTCCATTCACAATGAGCACACATGACAGAATTTGTGAATGTTACGTGGTCCGCAGATGGATTACTCACAAATTAAAGTATCAACAGAGGCGACATTTCATCAGTGTTGCTGAACACCACAGCTCTCTATCTTCAGGGATCTCTCTGATTTCAAGACCACACAAGTAGGACAGCAATGCCAATATTCGTCATGAGGAAAGATGTAATGTGAAAAATTTAAAATAACCTGCTCTCTGAGTTTCATACGTTTTGGACCTGTGAGTTTTGTTCAACTCAGTAACAAAAAGGCACCTAAACCCATGTTATATTTGTACGTCCAAATTCAGAAATGACTCAAAGAGCCGCAGCTGTGGTTTTTGCTGACTGCTGCTGGTTTCAAACGGCTTGTGCTCACATCTCTGCTCTAGTACTGACCCTATAAAAACAGTCATGGCAACTTAAAAAAGAAATTAACAGGACACCAGTCATCAGAAACCTCCCAATATTCACCCCGGCGTATTTATCACAAACAAAACACAACACCTCTCAGCACAACTCGGACATGAGAGGTAATGGATTTTTCACCTGAGGTAAAGTTCAGGGGGAGCGCAAACCCATCTGTCTTGGTATTAACAAGTAAAACTTCGCCACTTGTGAGATACGTAAGCTCTTCGTGTCCAAGACATGTTCCCCACACTGGGAAATAATCTCCTTTATCGTTAGCCTTTAAAATAAAAAGCAACAACATAAGAAAAAAGTACTGAAGATGTACAGAAAGAAGACTGAAGGGAACTTCCTGCTCTTTTCGCTTTCTCTCGTGCAGGTGAGGACTGAAATTACTATGGCAGTACACACTGCTACCAGAGGAACTGTAACAGCTCAATTACAACTGAAATAAACACAGGCTCCCTTAGTTTTTCTCCTAAAATACAAAGGTCAGGGGATACACACACGTCCATTTAAGCAGCAAACTGAGCCCAAGATTGATGTTAATCTGACTGTTCGGTTCTATGAATAAGTAATGTTGAGAGCAGCCTGAACAGAAACCACAAAATGGCAATATTTCTATAGAAAGGGCAATTATAAGGGATACAAACCGATCTGTCACCATTTTGAGGGAAAGCATATTAATTACAACTCATACTTGGATATGAAACACATTAAGAGTGCACAGCAGGGCCTTTTGCAATGTCTGTATGCCTGTGCCCACCCACCTGTACTGAGAAAATATAAATCCTGTTATTAGCACGGCTCTATTTTAAACAAGCATGTAAGTATGGCACTTAACTAGCAGGTTTGGACCTGGGTTCCAGAAAGACAAACTGTGAACTTAGGCAACATAAAAAAGTGACAATCGTTTTCAAAATAATAAAAATTGGCAGGTAAGTGCAAAAAACAAGAGAAGAATGTAAAGAGGAGAAAAGGAAAGCAAGAGAACACAGCTAGCTTCCTGTCACTTAACTGAGCACCGTGCATACACACAGTGAAAACTCCATTTTTGTACGGCTTATTCCTGAGAGTAAGCGCGTATTAGAGACTGGGATGTTTCAGAACTATTGTTTTTGTGAAATCTGAGTAGTCTTTCTTGACTTCTCTCTAAAAATTTTTAAGTTATGCCCACCCCCCTTGTCAAAAAGCTGCAGCTCAAAGCTTATTTTCAAGAAAGCTGAAATTACAGGCTTAGAATAAAAACGTTACCCTACTGCGCTGCTGACAGCATGGTAATAAAAGCCCATATAGCTATTCTCAAAGAAAAACATGAAAGATTGACAGCAAGCACGCTAATAGTGCTTCAGTCTTCATGACCACTCACTATGCATGGCTAGACACAGGACTTTCTACTCCACTGTCTTTCATGTAAGTGAGGAATAAAACCACTAAAGGCAAAAAACAGACTACAGTTTAAGAACAATTACAACTGAACTGTAAATGTTTTGTGCCCCTTAGTCCTTCTTTTTACAATAAACATTAGCCTAGAGGCTAAGCATATATTAAACAACACCCAAAACATCGCATTTTAAAAACTAATTTAAAAGCTGGAAAACAGTGTGTCATTTATGTCTTTGCCTAGCTAGTAACATTCTGTTGACTTGGATGGGGATTAGCATTATGTATCCTCTATTCATATTAAAGCAGAGCCAGACCAAGTCATTTCTCATTGGGATCATCTGAAAATGAAGAGAAAAGCCTTCCTATATTTTAAAAAACCATACAGTTCAGTCAATTCTGCAGCCGCCCTTGACTACTGTAGCTTACCTCATCTTCATAAAACTAACAATATTTTATAGCGCTAATTAAGTCTCAAAAGGTGCAAATCAAAACACACAATCATCACAAATAGCACAGAAAACAGCCCAGAGTTATTAGGAAGGGTTACTTACGATAAACTGACAATTACGTTCTGCCCTTTGCTCACCTGAAGTACACATACCATCTAAACCTGCCTCATCACAAAATTATGACCTAGGCAATTCAGTTAATCATTGTGAAATGTCAACAGAATTTCACAACAGTACTGCAAACCACAGGAAACCCTGTCCCAGTACTGAATACCGAGACACAGGCTGCGCTCCACACAGGGAGCAGTTTCAAAGAGACACAGGAGATTAACTGTCTCCCGTAGAAGTGAGATAGTCTTTGCAAGAGCCAGGTTTAAGGCAGCAGACCAACAATCACCATGAATAAAGACAGACAAAAGAGTAACAACACTGGTGCTAAGGGGACTGGAGAACAGGAAACTCAACTGCTGAACAGCAGGAGCTGGCTCTACCTGGGAACGCCACTGCCTGCGTTTTCCTCGCCTGCTGCTGGAAAGTCGGCAGCAAGGGTAGAGGAGGAACTCCTCCCTACCAATGAACACTTCTGCCATGGTAATAGTTTAAGCACTACTTGTAATTGCCTCTAGAATTGGGCAAAGTTTTCTGAAGTATGACTTCTGGGACAAAGTTAATCAAAGTTAGCTGAAAGTAAAATAAAGACAGTAGAGGAAAAAAGGAAGAAAATTTACTTTTTGATTCAATTTGAATACAGAAGATCCCTAACAAATCATACAGATTGTATATAAAGCTCAGTGACTCTCCATGCCTTTCCATAATGCAAATTTTACTTTGAAATGTGATTACTATCTGAAAAAAACCCCACCTCTTATGCTCTAAGAGAATTAACTCTTCAGTAGGACTCAGAGCCTCCCTGATGTTCTTTGAAAGAAACAGCTCTCCCAGAAATTCAATCTTTTCTTAACAAAGCTAATGATCATATAACTATTAAAAAATAATTAACATACCTTTCAAGTGTTCTTCCCATCTTTTTTAATGGTATAAATTAAGCTAGTGTTTCTTTTTTAAAATCTGCTATATTTACAGTTACCAATGCAAAGTAAAAGCTAAAACGGTATCGCGTGTTAATGTAGATGCCTCATCTGCACCTCCAAAGATATATTTAAATCCGCCTAGACAGGCGAGAATAAAGGCGTCTCACTAGCTGTAACATATATGCAAAGGGAGGCCTTAATGTTATATTGTCATAATTTGGTTTATTTCAGAGTCTCTGTAGAATTCCTTCTGAGTCTAAACTTTATCCATAAGACTTCTACAAATGATTGCATTTACACGTACATCTGTATTCAACACACAATGTCAATGGATGCCCTGCACTTTTGAAAGGCATTATTGTTACTTTACTGCAAGTTCCCCACAGCCACAAAGCCCTGCTACAATGAATAAAGGACACTGTTCTCACTTGAAGAACTCGGCAGTTTAAGACAAGAATACAACATGCAACAGGAGAAGGCATCAGAAGTCTGAATCTTAAGCTACTAAATGATTTTTTTAATGCAGAAGACAGCAATGAGCTACTTATTATCAGGCTTACAGTTAACATCCTGGATGCCAGTGCAAACCTATGAAAATACGAGCCTCCAGTCATTGTGATCTCTGAGCAGTGACAGTAACAAGAACAGACTGTTCCTTAGTAATTACCTCTAACGCCTTGTGGTAAAATATCTTAGCAACCCTGGAATACTCTGAAGTCTTAAGATCCACACCACCTCCTGGAAATAGTACCCTGAAAGGCAACATCCAAGAATCTAATTAGCAATCGTGATCAAACTAAAACCTGGACAAAGTACACAGAGAAAGGTCTGAGGGTGGTTTTAAGGGCAGGATTCAGGTCCAGGTTAAGACACATTTCAGAAATCTATAGACAGTTATCTAAGCTTCCATGACGGCCAGCAGGGACCTAGTCAGAAAAGTCAGTGGAGACTCAAACGGGTTTTCTAAAGCAGACACCCAGCTGGTCAGTGGGTTGAGCAGCCCCGCAGGCTCCACCGGCTGCACTGACCAGCTCTCCATTAATTATGTGAGATGAGACAGCTAGCGCACACACACAGAGCTACGCTTAGGTGTCTTAGTCTTTAACTGAATCACACCCTGCACCTCGATTTTCTTCTACTGAAGAATCGTTACTATCACAAAGGAGTGACCAAGCCTTGTGCAACATAAGGAAGAGGAAAGTAAACAGACAATACACAAAACATACAGATTTCAGCTGGTACACAATCGGTTCCGTGCCATGGCTGTCAAATCCTGTCCAGACTCTTAGCTGACTCTCCTTACCACTTTAAAATCCTGGCCCCAATCTTAATTTATTCCCTTCAATTTCAGTAAGTAAGGCAGTAAGGCAGAGTGACCTTTTATTGCAGACAACACAGATCAAAAAGTTCCTATTAAAAAAGAAAAAAAGTATGTTTGGCCGTAACCTTTGTTCACATGGTATTCAATATAGCTGAAGAAGACAAAGCAATCTCAGAGACAATTTCAAAGAAAACGTGCACAATCTTTTTCCACCAGAAAAAAAGACTCAGCACAGTCCAGCAGAGATTTCATACGTACACATGATGACATGGAAAGTAATCAAGCGCCACCAGAGAGAGTAACATGAAATAAAGGAAGACTCTTCTGGCTGTAAATGGAACAGTATCTGCAGAACCAACAAAACTGAACGTGTAAGTGGTCCCTAACCCACCGCAGCAGAACCCCAACTAGATTTATTCAAGCCACAACCATCAGTTGCTGATTATTTGCCAAAATGGTTGAAGAATTTCCTCTACATTTTTGTGCTCTGGAAATGGCAACCTGTATCAGGGAGATACTAACAAGCAGCTAGAAAAAAACAACATCTCAAATGGTCCCGAGCATTTGCAGGGCGAGTGTGTGTTTAAACCCTCGTGACCAGGCTTATTTTAAGGTGAATGATGCACAGGATCATGCAAAAGCCACAAAGTATTTGGTGGAGAAATAGAGCAGTATTCACAAAAATATAAATCAGACTACTCTCCATTGCCAATATTAATTAATTAATACAGCTGAAGGTACTTTCAGAACAGGCCAGATCATAGATTTCTGCAGAGATCTAGTTAGACGAATAAGGCGATCTTTACCTTGAGTGGCAGAAAATTCACTTCACCTGTTCCTTTTGTTCAACCCAAAAACTAGCCAATACTAATTAGGAAAAGAATTGTCATTTCTGCTAATGCAAAAAGGAAGTAACCCAGTAAGGAGCAGCGATAATGGCTTGGCATTGTCATAAGCAGACTGAAATGCAGCTACCTGTATTCCAGTATCTCTAACTGATTAGAGTTGCTGATACTCACTGCGAATTTCAAGGGCTATCTTAGGAGTATATTGCTACATTCATAAAATTCCATCTCTACTATAGTAAATTTTATGATTTTAAGGAGGTGGCGTTTAACAATAAATAATTTCCAACTGCAAAGAACCTGGAGCTAAGTTCTTACAACATGAAAGATCAACATATCTCTTTCTTATTCTAAGTTTGCACAGAATGGAAAGTCCTTCCCTCCAGAGATCTTATTTGTTATTTACACACAACTCTACTGTGGAAGCCATTAGCTGACAGCGGAGAGCAACAAGAGGAAACATATAGACCATCCATACCCACCTACATAGCACAAACTCAACTGCCAGTCGTGGCAAAGACGAAAGGACAAGGGAACCAGATCTACTGGCCTAACACCCTCTTCTGCATTGAGGTAGGTGGGGAGGTAGAAAGAAACAGAGACCACATTGGTGAAAGTCCTTCTGGCAACCAAAGAGGCCGGCAGCCATGAGAACAGGGTGAAATGATTCACTTTGCCTCCAACATGAGAAGCCCTAGCAGGGAAAGCGTCACTGTCTAATACTCGCTTACATCACAGGGCTGCAACAACCGACGTCCTGGCACACAGGGCATGCTGTGCAGAGGAAGAGGACAATGCTCTCCCCCAACAGCCACAGCTCTGAATCTGCAAGTTCTACACATGTTGATTAACGTTCTAGCATATGCATAAGCTTAACAAAAATATTCATGCTTTAAGACGTTCATCTCCTGACTACAAGTAACCCAATCACATGCTACAGGCTCACATACCATCAAGCCTGGGAAGCGTACCATCAGCTGATTAAACTCTTCTAAAGGGCACTTCCAGCACAGGGCGAACACAAAAGGCTTTCACTTCACTCAGCCCACAGTTAAAATGTGTTAAATTAGATCACATTATCCCACATTTAAAATGTAGGAAGTAAACATGGGTGGACAGTTGCCACAGGTCAGCTGAAAACTCAGAATGTCTGTCTAGCAAAGAGCCACACCACAGAATCAGGACAGACAAGACGGGCCATTGAAGTAGCAAGAGAGAAAGCACCCAAAGACAAAAGGGCAGACGAGACTGGGAATCAGAAACTTTTATGATAGAGGAGATATGGAGACGACTGGCAGAGGAAACAAAGGATAGGAATAGGGATGAAACACCCAGCAAGTGCTATTAAATATCAAAATTAAGGTGATCGCTCAAATGAAGAAGAGGAAAAAACAAAGAGGAGGTGAGCTATTTCACCTGTAAAACTGTTAACCACTATAATGCCACTTCTGTCTGCCTGCAGACAAGCACAGGAGAATGCCAAGATGAGCCTTGGAACTGCTGCAGATTATCTGACATATGTTCCTCAAGGAAGAAAAGGCAGCAGACAGACATCAGATGAAACAGTGCTCCCTGTATTAGAACATATTTACATGTCTGCAGCACTCAGCACAACCTCTCGAGAGAGCAGAAAGACAGTGTTCTTGAGAATATGGCAGAGCTCAAAACCAAAACTATCACATCTTTCAACACAAAAGCAGTGCTCAAAACTTACCCATTAATAGAGTGGAATATTTTATCATATTCTTCATCTGAAAGATTTAATCTGAAACACCAAGAAAATAGTTACAGAACACATATGAAATATAACAACAATAAAAATATCACCATTATTGAACAGAAACACAGGACACAGAATATATGTAGAAAGTTTGCTTCCAACAGAATAAAATAGTCCCAAATCAAATCAAACATTTCACTTGCAGCAGCTCAGTCGAGACTGAGGATCCACAAGACTGAAAACAGAACCCTATCAGGCACAGTTCAGGATTAGGTACGCTGAGACTCCTTTGCAGACACTCGTTATATTTAACATTTACAGGAATGGCATGGTTATTACTTCCTGTAGACCGGCACCTCCGGTTTCCAGTTGACTCCAACAAGGGCAGAACTGCAAACACTGCGTCACACCCATTCTTCAGCAGAGATATAGTTGAGAGGTGGAAAGACAAGAAAGACCTCAGCATCAGCAAAACAGTATAACAGCTACACTCACGCAGAACTGATACGCTGGGTATATTCAACGCACCCAGCTTTGCTGCACCTAACTGAGTGGCCAGAATGAGAAGTCTCCCATTGTAGAGGAAGCTTCTGGTCAGCAACCATTCCGAAAGCTCCACCAGCTACGTGAAGAACACCGGCTTCTAATTCAGGCACTTAACTAGGGCTCTTCTTGGACTGTGTAGATACACTGCTTTTAACTTCTGACTATTATCATTTTAACATCTGATTTTAGAGCAATTACTATTTATAGCTAACTGTCGGCTATGAAGCACTGTCGGTTCTGTTACATACTCTGTTAATTTTTACCCAACAACCAAAACAGAACAATACATGGAGTTAGTGACCCACAGTTTGAGCAGAACCGGACTTTGGTTTCTTCAAGGAGTACCGATAGCCTTTCTTCATTACTTGAATCCTAGGACTACAAAACCTGACAAAAGACAGTATGTATATACGGATCTAGATATCTCGGGTGGGGGGCAACACTACACATTAGACTGAATACAGCTAACTTCAAAAAGCACCAGTGCAAACCAACGGAGGATAATTTTATAGGTAAAAAGATAATATTTTTCAAAGAAAGGTTATCATATGAAGACATATTAAAAATTATATGTTCCAGTCTGCTTTTATTCTGATTTCTAAAACACCCTGCAAATTGTGGCATCTTCAAAGAGGCTTTGAGGAGCTTTAAACACTCAGAAAAGCAGCACAATTGCTTTCGGGGCCTCTATGAAGATATGCTTACATTAAATAATTATTCAACACTCGCGAGGATATAAAAATCTACCTTATTGGCACAACTCGGGCACCGGCAGATTCCAAAAACTTCACGTATGAAGCTGCAATGTAAGAACTTCCAA